CTATGCTACCAGAGCTTCTGAAATTTAGAATACTAGAGGCAAAAAGAACATCTCACAGACTTCTAAGAGTACAAACAAATAATCCAAATTATAATTTACAACAGCAACCCTGGAGGCTAGAAGGCAATGCATTTCAAAATTCTGTAGGAAAATAATTTCCATTCTACAATTCTAACACAAACTACAATGACAAATTACTCTAGAATAAAAACATTTTCAGTGATGCAGGGTTCAGATGCAAATGATAGAAAGTCCAAAACAATTGTTACAATTTTATTCCTCTCTCACATAAAAGTTCAGATCAGTACGATGATTCTGTTCCATGAAACTCACAGCAACCCAGGTTCATTCCAGCTCCCACTTTGCCATACTCAGGGTGTGACTCTCTTCCTCAAAACATGGAGGAAGGGATGATGAAGAAAGAGAAAATGGCATTTGTAATTTTCTGAAGACTTGTTCTCACGAAGCTACTGGTAGAATACATCATCAAAGGGAAGTGAAGAAACAAAGAGGAAGACTTGGGATCCATGAACCAGGGTATCTGTTTTAGTTACCTAATGCCATTGTAACAGAAATACCACAACTATGTGGCTTTAATGAACAGAATTTATTTCTTCACTATTTAGGAGGCTAGAGGTCCCAAGTCAGGGTGCCAGCTCCAGGGGAAGGCCTTCTAGGCTCTGGGGAAGGGTCCTTGTCTTGGTTCCTTGGTGATCTTCACGTAGCTTGGCCTCTCTCTTCCCCCATCTCTGCTTATTCACTTGCTTGTTTAATCTCTTTTATATCTCAAAAGAGATTGACTTAAGACACACCCTAAACTAATACTGTTTCATTAATATACAAATGGGCCTAGAAGGCAGACAGTTCAGAGCCGAGAAGGTCCGAAGTTTCTGCTGTTGTTGTTAGGTGCCATCGAGCTGGCTCAGACTCATAGCGATCCCACGCACAACAGAATGAAACGCTGTCCAGTCCTGCACCATCCTTGCAATCCTTGCTATGCTTGAGCCCATCATTGCAGCCCAGAAGGTTCTAGGAGAGAATTATTCAAGATAGGACTGATAGACAACTTAAGAATTTATCTTGCCAACATATCTTCATTGTCCTGTGATAGTCTACTCCATCTTTGAAAAGACATTTATATATTAGGAATTCAATCAGGAATAAATACCTAGAAAACTAGGTGAACAAAAAGACAATTATTAACGCCAGGAAAAACAAAAGAAAAAGTAATAACATTATAACATATGGCTCAAGGGTGAGATATTTACATAATTATAAAAATGTATCCTTAAATATCTTTCTAAGTAAAATGACAAACATGTTTAGAAGATGGAAACTGTGTATGTGACTGGGAAGTGAAAGAGAGCTAAACCTCTTTGTCCACAGTGGAAAGTCAACAGATAATAGCTAAATTGGAAAAATATAACCATATTACTTAGAAACAGGGAAACAAATAAGCAAAAGAATCAGGTATAAGAACTGAAAAAGCCTTTGCTTCTGAGGACTTGGGAATGGAGACGGGTCAGAAGGGGTCTGCTGTGTTTTCTAACAAGCCTTTGGAAGTATTTAACTCTTTAAGTTTCACGTATGCTGAACTTTATTTAAAACACATTTTTAAAAAAAGATAAGTTAATCAGATTCTCTTTCTTGGACTTTTTGGGTAAGAAATGTGTAACTAAGTGGAAGAAGACAGCTACCAAAAGAAGTAGTGGACAATGGCTAAGTCACATCAACAATATGAGATAGAAGGAAAATTCTATGCCAAATCCCCATTGTGAAGCACCCTGGGATTTCCTTGGACCCAGAAGTTCGTGGGTTTCAATATACATGAAGCCTGATGCACTGTGGTGTCAGATCTAGGCGATTTGGTCTCTCTGATCTAGCTGCTTCGTCTTTCTTCAGCTTCATTGAGTGAATTTTTGTTTCTTGCGGTGGAAAAAAAAAAAAAAAAACCCTGCTAAAATAGAGCTGAGCTGACACTTTAGACTCCATGGCAACGAACAACAACATCCAAATAGAGCCATATATTGCTTCAAGAACTCCTTTTTAATTGAAAGGGTATAAGACGTAGCAATTTGTTCTTCATGTCCCACCTTCACTTGGGAGGAGAAATTCCACTATACTTTGTTCCAATGGCCTCCTAAGAACTGTACTGATGTGATCCTTGTGTTTCTACAAGCCTGGTCTCAAAACTCTGTGACATTCCTGTCTCACCAAGACATAGAGGCTATTGTCTATTTCCTTTCTGCAAGGAAAGTCAGCATGATGTGAAGAAAGTAGATTAGGGTGACATCCTATGGAGGAGTAAGGTTAGTGTAACCCACCATCTCTGTTTTCCAGGGATAGAGGGGTTTCCTGGAATGAAGAACTTTGAGCACTCAAATCAAGACAGTACTGAGCAGACCAGTCAGGTACCAATCAGTAGGTCAAGTGGACTAGGTCCCTGACCATATGCCGCTACACCTGACTGTTGTTGTTGTTGTTATGTGCCGTCGAGTCAGACCCGACTCATAGCAACCCCTCCTTGGGTTTCTGAGGCAGTATCACTAGGGAAGTAGATTACCCCCTCTTCCTTCCGAGGAGTGGCTGGTGGGTTTGAACCGCCAGCCTTCTGGTTAGCAGTCAAGTGCCTTAGGCACTATGCTACCAGAGCTCCCCTACACCTGACTTGTTGTTTTTGTTGTTATGTGCCGTCGAGTCGGCCCGACTCATAGAGACCCCTCCTTGGGTTTCCGAGGCAGTATCACTACGGAAGTAGGATTGCCCAACCTTCCTTCCGAGGAGTGGCTGGTGGGTTTGAACCGCCAGCCTTCTGGTTAGCAGTCAAGTGCTTTAGCTACTATGCTACCAGAGCTAGTGTTTCTGATGAAACAGAAAAACGCTTTTGTCAAATCAAAGACGGCATAACAAAATTCAGGTAAACTCACTGCCGTTGAGTTGGACTCATAGCGACCCCTCCTTGGGTGTCTGAGGCGGTATCACCTCTGAAGTAGATTGCTCAACCTTCCTTCCGAGGAGTGGCTGGTGGGTTTGAACCACCATCCTTCTCGTTAGCAGTCAAATGCCTTAGGCACTACACCACCAGAGCTCCCCTAAGCTTCAGCTAAGCCTCCATTATTTTTCAGCTATCTGCATTAATTTCTGGCTATCAGCATCCTCTAACCTGCCCCCCTTTCAGTCTCCCCATTTTCATTAAATGGCACGATAAGCCACCCAACTGCTCAAAACAAAAGTCTAGAACTTCTCTGTCCAATATGGTAACCACTAGCCATGTAGGATTATTTAAATTTTAGTTAAATTAAAATAAAAATTTTGTTTTGTTTCTACCACTGTATTTCTAGCATCTAAAACAGTGCCTGAAACTATAATAGATAGTAAGGGTGAAATGAATTTTCAAACACTATTTGAAGAATAGCTCTGGTGGTGTAGTGCCTAAGGCATTTGACAGCTAACCAGAAGGCTGGTGGTTCAAACCCACCAGCCACTCCTCGAAAGGAAGATGGGGCAATCTAAAGGCAAAGAGGGGTCACTATGAGTCACTGAGGGCAATGAGCGTGTTTGTGTTTGTTTGCTTTAATTTGAAGAAAACTGCTGTGGTTAGGAGCGGGATCTCTAAAGTCAGAAGACTCAGATTAGAATCCTGGCTGGGCCATTTATTAGTTGTGTGACCCACAACAGGTCGTTCAACCTAAGACTTCTCTGTAAAACGGGGACTCTGCCTAGGGCACATAAACGAAATAGCATTTATAAAGCACTTCCTTTTGCCTCTTTCCTTCCTTGACAGCTCCCATCTTTCCTCCCTCCTCCTTACTGTTAGGAGCCATTGAGTCATTCCACACACAGCGACCCCATGGGACAGAGTCAAACTGTCTCATAGGGTTTCCCAGGCAGTAACCTTTATCCAAGCAGGTCACCAGGTCTCTCTCTTGTAGAACTGGGTGGGTTCAACAGCCAACTTGCGGTTCGCAGCCGAGCGCTTAACCCATGCGCCACCAGGGGCCCTTCCCTCCCCCTTAGCCTCGCAAATAACTACTTCTGCTTTGCATGCCTCTCTGTACAGTCTGCCTGAGAATGGCGGTGTTGGCGTGAAGTGAACTCCAACTCATGACGCTCTTATATGCGTGTCTGGACTCATCTTCCAGGGCTATGTTAGATAATATTCTCTCGTAATTCATAAAGGTTCCATTGACTCCATTTTGGAAGTAGATCACTAGGCCTGGAGGTAAAACAAAACAAAAAAAAAAGAAAGCCCACTGCCATTGAGTTGATTCCGATTCATAGCGACCTGTAGAACATAACAGAACTGCCTCATAGGGTTTCCAAGGCTGTGTATCTTTGCGGAAGCAGATTGCCACATCTGTCGCCCACGGAGCGACTGGTGGGCTCGAACTGCTAACCATCTAGTTCGCAGCCAAGTGCCTTAGCCTCTACGCCACCAGGACTCCTAGTGTGGAAGTAGATCTTTGAAATTTGGCGGGAATTAGCGTCATCAGTCTCTAGAGCATCCGACCTGCGTACCCCCAGGATACCTCCCCCTTCTCTGGCGCAAACTTTGCAGTCTTGCCAGCCAATCAGAGCTAGCGTCGGAGCCCGAGTTCCGGGGTAGCTAGAGAGTTGGAGGAGGACTCACCAACCAAAACTAGGAGGCGGCCCGCAGGGAAGGCAGAGACGAGGGGGGGAGGGGACGTGAGAGGGCACCCACTATTCTCCCTGCTGGTGCCTATGCGGGCCAATGGGAGAGGACTGAGGCCCTAGGGCAGTGGGGCGTGGCGTTGGCGGCTCCCTCAACCCAAGGCTGTTCAATGTCAGGCCAATCAGAGCGAGGAGGTGGGATGAGTCTAGCCAATCACAGTGCAGGATAGGAGAAATAGGGGGTCGAGGAGTCTCGCGCGGATGCCTCGGACTGCCGAGGTTCTCTCAGGGGAACTGAGCGGAGGCGGCTAAGGAGGCGGGAAGGCGGCATCGGTTGAAGGGGCGAAGGTTCGAGTGAGTGGACAGCGATGGTGATGGCGGCGAAGAAGGGCCAAGGCCCCGGTGGCGGGGTCGGCGGAGGGAAGGCAGAGGCGGAGGCGGCCTCGGAGGTGTGGTGTCGCCGGGTGCGGGAGCTAGGCGGCTGCAGCCAGGCCGGGAACCGCCACTGCTTCGAGTGCGCCCAGCGCGGGGTCACCTACGTGGATATCACCGTGGGCAGCTTCGTCTGCACCACCTGCTCCGGCCTCCTGTGAGTGGACCGGCAAGGAGGGCGGAGAGTCGGCGGCGTTGGGGCCACTGAGGACCCGGGGCGGACAGGGAAGCCCACGCTCCGTGGAGCGAGGGGAGAGGGCAGAGGTGGGAGAGCGGTGGGGGAGGGCAGGGCGGATGTGGTGAGAGGGTCTCAGTTTAAGGGGTCTGCGGCAGAGGTCATGGGCAAGGGGATGGGGGAAGAGGACGCAGAGAAGATCAGATTGCATTGTGAGGTGGGTCCTGGCGAAGTAGGAAGTCCGGAGAGAAAAGGAGTAACTCTTTAAGGGAGGGAGGAGAACTGAAAGTGGGGAGAAAGTGTGAAGAATTGAAGGGAACTCTCCGGGGAGGGATTTAAAGGGCCAGAGGATGACTTACACATTTAAAGGGAACGTCGTGTAGGTGGGTGGAGGGCAAACGAGGAAAGAGGGAGGGAAAGCAGCGTTCAAGATAAGGGAGTACGTTCCTTCCTTCTGGGTCGCCCCCTTCCCTGGAGTGTGAAACGGAGAAAGCAATTTAAAATAGGTAATTTAACCCAGGTTGACTGCGTGGAACTAGTAACTGGTAAGGAGACTTGTTCCAGCGTCCGAGTCCAGTTCCTCATCTTGCAGGACTTTGGAATGATTCTTAGAAAATCTAAGTTATGAGAGCTGATCGGTTACCCTGGTAGAGACTTTAACTTTTCCAAAGGTTTCCTGATCTGGTCGCGTTCCCCTTCAGTGTAATATTCTACACCTTTAAGCTCCTTGTTGTCATTGCTGGATTCTAGTGGTGGTGTTAGTTGCAACTCCTGGACACCCCATGTCTGCAGAATAGAATGGCTTCCTACGGTTTTCAAAGCTGTCATCTTTCAGAAGCAGATAACCAGGCCAGGCTTCCACGGTGCCTCCCATCCAGGAAGCACTTTCAATCTAGATTTGGGGGGTTTTGGTGTATAATCTGCGTTGCTACACTTGGCACTAGGAACTCTGGTAGCATAGTGCCTAAGGCACTTGACTGCTAACCAGAAGGCTGGCAGTTCAAACCCACCAGCCACTCCTCGGAAGGAAGGTTGGGCAATCCTACTTCTGTAGTGATACTGCTTCGGAAACCCAAGGAGGGGTCGCTATGAGTCGGGGCGACTCGACGGCAAATAACAACAACAACACTTGGCACTGGCACTTTATTTGATCATCAAAAAAAAAAAAAAAAAAACAAGTTCACTGCCATCCAGTTGATTCTGACTCATAACAACCCCCTTTAGGAAGTAGAGTGCTCAGTCTTCCTTGCAGAGTGGCTGGTGGGTTTGAACCACCAACCTTCTGGTTAGCAGTCAGATGCCTTAGGCATTCAGTCCTCCCTGTGCTAAATTAGGACCACAGTGCTAGTCCAGATTTCTGGTTATACAGTAGGGTTCTTTTTTTCCCTCCTTAGGGAATTATTTGGTTAGATGCATGACTAACATTTGATACTAGGCCTGGATCTCTGCTTTCTATATTTATCAAAAGATTTAATAGTAGTAGTAGTAGTAGTATACAGTGTTGTTTTCTAATCAGGGAAAACTTTTCTCATGTCTTCTCCCCATGCCCCTTTGCGAGACAAGGAGGGAGCAGTATTGTTCTCTTGCATTACAGATGGAACAACAGAAGCAAAGAATGGTTTAGTCATTTATCCAATGCCATATGGGGAGTTTTGTTTTCAACATGTGTGGTTTGCTATTAATTGTGATCGTGGCAAACCAGAAATGAGGATCCAGGTCTCATAACATACAGTTTAAGATTATTTCTCTGCTTTTTTTTTTTCCCCCTCCTTTGCCAAACTTTACTTTATGTTCTGATCAGTCTCGCTTGTGTGTTGTGAAGATGGACTCGACTTCAGTGTGAGAGCCGTTGTGACTTAGGGCAGTGACTTAGAACTCAAACAGGATGTGTACAAGTTGAGCTGGAGACTCAGATGAAGCAAGATGGTAGAGACGTGAGGCTGGAACAAGGGGTAGGAGTGTTTATAGCATCAGTAGAAAGGGACAGAGCGCATTCCTGAAGATCTTGTTATGAAAAGTAAAATCTGATCATAGAGTCTGGAGGAAAGTAAAGGGAAGGAGGGGGATAAAATGGATGGTCAGCGTGTAGGTCCTAGGAAGAAAATGTTAAGAAACAGAATGTTGAGTCATCCCCACAGTTAACTATGATGGTGCGAAAGATAAACACTGAATAAATGGGAAGTATTGAGATCATTTTCATTATTTTGTAGTTCTTGGTCTCAAGTGTCCCAGAGATAACATTACCTTTCTGTAATGAATATCTGTCAATTAGGGCAAAAGGAGGCCAAAGGATCTGGGACACATTATAAATCTGTCTTCTTTCCCTGGAAAAGTTAACTCTTCAAATATCAGTGCACAATTTACAGAACTTACCACTTTTCCCTGTGGTCACTGTAATTGTTCAGGTTGTGTGTGTCAACTTGGGTAGGTTGTGATTTTGATCGAATGGCTTAGCAACTGTAGTTATTCCCCATGATGAGATTGGATGTGGTGTAATCACTTCCATGGTGGAATCTGCTGTGAGCAGCTAATTAGTTGAAGAGGAGTTGCTTTTGGGATGTGGCCTGCTTCCAGTATATATGGAGATGCCTATTTGGCCTGTCATCATCTCCAGTTTCTAGAGTTAAACCAGTGACCTGCCGTGTTGCCTTGGGATTGATATTGGGATTGCTGGCTTTGCAGCCTGTGAGTCAACAATCTGCCATTTTGCCTGCTGAACTTGGATTCATCCGCTCCAGCAGCCAGCAGAAGTGTGAGTCAGAAGAAGCCTCCAGCTTGCTCCAGTGGGCCTGGAAGGCAGAGCTAAAGTCCAAGGTTGAAGGGCCTCCACCTAGAGACCAGAGTGAGAAAGTCTTCCCCTAGAGGTGGTACTCCGAATTTGGACTTCTAGCCTCCTAAAATGTAAGAGAATAAGTTTCTGTTTGTTAAAGCCATCCACTTGTATTTCTGTTACGGTAGCACTAGAGAACTAAGACAATTACAATTGTTGATCTCATGAATGCAAAGTTAAATACCTGTGCTCTGGGCAGACACAGGATGGAGATGAGTATGGCCTGAGAATTGATTAGGCCTGTCTCTGTCCAGGGTGTCTGCACCATTCCAGAGACCTAGCTTCTTAGGAACTTAAGTTCCCAAGAAACCAAGTGGGACAGATATACCAGGGTTTTTTCAGTATCAAAAGATTTTAGGAAGGACATTTCTGCTTAGGATTTAGTTTTATGAGACTCACCCAAGGAAGGATTCTTGAGATGGTAGACTTTGGGGACCACATTTTAGTGGTTGGGAAATGAGAATCTAGGCCAGCCTTTTGTTAGTAGGAAGTGAGAGTAGGATGAAGAACCAGGAGGCCGGGCCAATAAATGAAGCTGAACTGAAGGCATCAACCTAAGGAGAGAAATATCAGGAGAAACTTAGAAGAAAGCTGTGGTTTCTCTGGCTGTGACCATCTGCCTGGGTTCTGGTAGTATCTCTCATTTTGCTAATTGGAGTTCTAATTAGCATTGACTGGGGCAAGGCAGGCAGATCAGCCATTTAAGGGAGTCTTATTTTTTGTGTTCTTTTGATGTGCTGTGGGGAAGGCTAGTGGCTGGCAGGTGGACCACAGGCAGGATGTGTGAGGCAGAGGATGCTTATCGCTGGCTTCAAAGTGAGGACAGAGCACACAGAGTCCAGCAAGCAATGAGGCATGACTCCAGGATGACACATCTCAAATCCACGTGGTTGGTTGCCTGTCAGTTACTGGGAAGTGAACATTGTGGTGGGACAGCAGCTTACATATTCATTCTTTCTATCAATAAACAAATATTTATGGAGTGCCTGTCAAGCCCCAGACACTGTTTTAGGCACTAGTGATACAGTAGTGAACAAAATTGACAAAGTCCTCACCTTCATGTAGCTTACATCCTTATGGAGGTCATGGACTATAAATATATCATTGCAGATAATTGTAAGTGTTATGAAGTAAAATATGGCTCAGTATGGTTTAGAGATATATTGCAAAGAGAAGAAGTATCCTTATTAAAATTAAGAGGATATTGAGGGGAAAACTGAAGTCTCATACTTAGTACTACAGGCAGTCTGTAGATTATGAACAAGTTCAGTTCCTAAGTCTGTCTTTAAGTCGACTTTGTATATAAGTAATAACAGTTAGGTATGGAAGGAAGGTTGGGCAATCCTACTTCCGTAGTGATACTGCCTCAGAAACCCAAGGAGGGGTCGCTATGAGTCGGGTTTGACTTGACGGCACATAACAACAACATGGTTTATATCTAATGTCAGATAGTCAAGTGTTTGTCTTAGTATATAGTGTACCTTTGTATGCACAGAAAATATTAAAGAAACATTTTTAGATACACATAGCATTAATACATATATCCCTTACTTTTAGAAAGTCTGCTTTATGCTACTTCACTTTTACAAAAGATCTACATAAGTACCTGTTTTTGGTAACCAAAAGAAATCTAAAGAGAATTTTTGCTTTTACCAAAAAAAAAAGGGGGAAATTAGTGTTCAGCATTTGTTTTGCAAGAGCCATTAAAGAGGCAGCGTTCACCCTGAGCAGCGAGAGTGGCATTACCAGGCTTCTTCCTCAGGAGCTACACTCAGCGTCAACCTGCCATAGCTTTGAACTGTCTGTGAGCGCTATATGTTAATGTTCTTTTAGGTTTTATGGGTTACTTGGCATGATCTGGTAGGTTATTTTTTGAGTCTGGGATTACTCAAAATTTGTTCCCATATAAATTAACAGTAATTGCATTTTTATTTTTACGTCATTTCGGCCTACAGAAGGTTTCATAGGAACAATATACTGTAGTGTGGAGGAAGACCTGTAATACAGTAATAATAATAATAGAGTTTTGATGTGCATCACAGAGTAGCACGCATTTGTTATTACGAACTATTGTGTGTACCTTGAATTTTCCATATAACAGGCTTTCCAGAGGCTGGTTCATAACTCCAGTTGGACGTTCATAACCTGTGTA